TGTAATCAGATGAACATAGAGCAGGAAAAACTGGCACCATTATCAGAAAAAATTGCAACATCTTGGTCTAACAGCCAACAACAGTGAAATTATTGCCTAATAGATAATTTTCCAATTAAGTTTATTTTGTAGCGCCAGAAACGTGGGCTCTGACTGCTGCAGTGAGGCATTTTTAATGGGATTGCTTTGGAGTTAAGGTAAATGGGGGAAAGAAAAGAACCAGGCTTTGAGACCTCGCAGCTGAGACTTGTGTTAGGACAGGAGCTCCTCGAGAGGACACGGGACTGGTTTTGGCCTGTGATGGTGACAAACTCCCCTACTGAGCAGCTGCCTCGGGGCTGGAGCTGCAGAACTGTGCAGGGCAGGGATCAAGCTCTGCTGTGCCAGAAAAGGAGGCAGAGGTCCTGCAGGTGGAGGTTCTGCAGGTGGAGGTGTGGGCAGAGCAAAGCAGCCCTGGAAGTGAGACCGTCCCTGGTCTGGAGCCGGGCGGAGGAAGAGGAGAGGAGTTGGTGCTGCCTGCCCCAGCTGACTCATCCAGCCCTGGAGTGTGTGTCACATCACACCTGATCTTGTCACATAAAATGATGGTGTTTCTCAGCCCAGGGGAGCCGAATCGCAGCCCCCTGTGCAAATGCTCCTTGTGGGACAGGGGTGCCCAGCAGCCTCGGTGACGCAGCACACACACAGTGACACACCACACTCTCTGTGGTGTGCTGCTTTTAGCCCTTAACCTCATGTTTAGAGAGACTTCAGGGGGGACTTGAAGGGGAATCTTCTGTTGTCTCTGAGCATTTAATCACCAGGTCTCTTTGGTCCCCAAATGGGTGGGTCAGTGCTGGGAATCCTGGAGGGTTAAGTGTGATCCTGCCCTCCTGAAGGGATGGGAACATTTGTCTATCCCTCTCAGTGTCCCCTTGTCCCTCTTACTGGGGGCTGAGCCTCCTGGCCCCACAGAGCTCCCAGGGAAGGGGATGCCACCCCACACCCCAGCACTGCACAAGGGAAGGGCCGTGGCTGTGGGGGCAGCACTTAAATCACTTCTCACAGTGATTTTCACCCTTGCCAGGTGCTAAATGCCTTTCTGCTCCAGGAAAACCCGTCTCCAGCTGCTGCTGGACTGGGACTGGCTGGCTGCTCTGGAACCACAGGCTCAGTCATCTGTCTGGTGAACCATCAGCGGCGTTTCACTCAAAATCTTCCAGCCAGTCTTTTCTCCTGGCTGGGGTCTGGGGGAGGTGAGACCCCACTGTGCTCAGCCCCAGGACCTCTCATTCCACCCAGCTCCTGCCTAGTGCTGTTCCCAAGGTGTCTGGGCTTGCAGGGCACCATCCCACCTACCCCAAACACAGCTTGGCTCCCACACCTCTGCTTTTCCCTGGGGGAAGCAGAGCTGCTGGGACCCCCCCTCTGACACCCCTGCCCCTCTGGGAGCATCTTGGTGGCCACCCCAGGGATTTCTCCGGCTCGTCCCGCCCCAGCAGAGGGGAGAAGGCAGAGGGGACTCACCATTGCCCATGGCCAGGACCTGCATGTTCTCAAACTCCAGAGTGGTGTACGCCGGGTCCAGCGCTGCGCTATAATCTGCCATCTCCATGTCTATTAGGGCTTTGGAAAGGCGCATTATCATCAGCAAACACGGGCCAGATTGAACCGATTCCCCTGTCCGAGGCTATTGGCCCTCTTGCCTCCCTCTGCCTTGGCTGCCTGTCCCCTATCTGTTGTCTTTTATTTCAGATATTTCTCTGAAAGGATTTGCTGAGCCTCAAGGCCTATACTCCCCAGAGGGGTGGAGGCAGGAGGCAGGGGTTAATCTTTAATCATCTCACCCACTGCCGAATGGTGCTAAGCTGTGGTTGGTTTTTTTTTTTTTTTTGGTGGAGCTGCAGTGATTCCTGTTGATTGTTTACTGTTGAATCTCAAGGCACTTTGCTGCTCCCAGCCCTTCCTGGGCAGAAGCAGGACCATGGGAGCAGGCACTCACTGACAGTGGAACACCTTGCCAGGCTGTTGACCTTGATGCTCAGTGTTGGTCTTAATGGGATGGAAGACTTGTAGAAAACCCTACCAGGAGAACAAGGCTGCTCTTCACTTCTGTCATTGCCTTCCCCTCCTCACCACTGGTTGCCTTCACCCCTGCTTTTCCCTTCTCTTGCTCCCTCCATCCCTCCCGCTCCTCCTTCTCTCTCCCTCACGGTCAGAGAAGGTCAGCTCCTGCCTGCCAATTTACACGTTGCCATGTAAAGCCAAGCTTATGACTCCTTTTACTTCCCTATAAACCAGGTTTTACAGGGGCTGGATGCCCCATAAACAGATCCCACTCTCTGTGCCCAAGCAGTGAGCTGGGAATCACTGGGGTGGCTCCTGTCCCACAGCTGGAATCCCACTGTGCTGGACACCCCAGCCTCGGGATTTGACTGATGTGTCTTAAAATTTTAATTAGACACGTTAAATAATAAATAATCAGTAATTAAGTAGACGTGCTAAAACGCAGCAGAGCTTTACTCTGCAGTGGGATTTTTCTTTCTGGGGGGTGCAACCAACTTCTGCTGCCTTACCCAGAGCTTGGGTCTGACCCTGCTGGTGCTGGACCCCCTGGACCAGAGCAAGCAGCAGAGCTGCCTGTGCTCTCCTCCCCAGCTGCCCCTGAGCACATCACTCCTCCAGTTGAGCCATAACTGAGACATTTCAGTGCAATTGCGAGATCATTGAGTGGGAATTCAATCGACCGCTGCACGGCACGGGCTGCAATGGCATGAGAGAAGCAGCAATTAACGATTTGGTATCGGCTCGTTCTGCGCTGAAAACACCCCCGGGGTTTCGCAACCACCACTGTTGGTTTGAGCTCCCAACTGGCTTGTGTTTGTCCTTCCCAGGCACCCCAGAGCAGCGCCAGCCCCGCTGGCACCACGAGCCACCTGGGCCACGGTGTGACACCGAGGTCTCTGGCTCCACAACAGCACATGCCTTTGGGCAGTGATGCTAGTGATGATTTGCCATTCACATTTTAGGAGGAGGAGGAATTGTTGAAGCAGCCCTTGCCCCCAGAACAATGACCTACGTAGCGCTTCTTAAAAGCTCTTCTGCCCTGAGGCTTCAGGTCTGCAGGAGTGAATCTGAGCTCAGGGGAGAGCCCCTGCCTTCTCACTTGGGACTGGTGATGAATGACCCTTTGCTGCAGGGAAAACAGTCCTGCTGAGGGACAGGCCAGAGCTCTCTGCACTCACGTGGCTCTTCTCTTAAGCAGACACAGTCCTGGCCAAAAACTGTTTTTACAATGTGCAAACCGGGATGGGGATGCTAAGGTAGATCATAGCCCCCTCCATAGCCTCCTCCCAGGGACCTCCATCCCAATCCTGGCCAGGCCACAGTGATCCCTTTGATTAGATAAATGCGACAGACACCAGGTCAAATATGTGCAGGATTTGCCTCAGCGTCTGGTAAAATGTCATAAAAACACGGCCCCTTCTGCTCTGCTCAGCAAAACAAACCTTTTGCTTCAATAGCCTGCTGAGCAAGGAGGCTGCAAAGGCTGTTTGCTCCTCAGGCAGGAAGGATTAAAAGGGCCAGGAACAGCCATCAGAGAGGCAGCGCGTGCGGGAGAGCGGCAGATAAGGAGCGGGGAAGTTTGGAGAGCATTAGGCGGCTCACGAGGCTGGGACTGTCAATGGGACGTGGTGTTTTCCGCCTGGAATTGCATTCACTGTTGTTTTCTCACTGCCACCACCCTCTGGGGGTCACCAGTGTCTTCTCCTAAATCCCTCCTCTTGGAGCCAGACCAGCCAAGGACACCATGCCCTGGAGATGGGCTCTGGTGGGGACGCATCAGCTGCTCCCTGGGCACTGGCTGCTGGGGGAGAGGATGTCTCCCCTGGGATCTTCTGCCTGGGGAGTCCTTGTCTCCCCCTCACATCCTTGTGTGGTGGGTTTTGGGACCAAGTCACAGCTTGTACTCACCAACAGCACCCCACGGCCCTACAGATGTTTTAGGTTGGAGGTGTTCAAGTCAGCAGCCACCTGTGGGGCTGTTTCAAACCCTTCTGGTTACAGAAGATGTTTTTGTCATTTTTATTCCAAGAGAGACAACTCATAGCTGGCAGACCCACACTTGAAGGTGAAGGCTGTTCCCAGACCAGGTGCTCCAGTTCAGCTCCCAGACCCGCTCCTCCCTCCTGTCCCTCCACCCACTGTTTCCTGTGTCAGGAGATGGCTTTGCTGCAAAGGAGACCATGACAGCTCTGGGGCATGAAGTGTTCTGTGCCAAGTGATTATTTCATTTTTATCTGTTGAGCAGTAAAACCTTTCCCACATTAGCACATCATGACACTAATTCTGCCTTATCTATATATCCCTGACTGGAAAATTCATGCAATGCTAGAGGGGATTCCCTGAAAATAAGATCTGTGCTTGTCAGTAAATGGGGATCAGGAAGAGAGTATTTAATAGGGCTTTTTTGGTAAGGATGCCATCAGCTGAATCTGAGCCCTTCATGTCAAGTGGGTGAGCAGGCACCTCTCTCAAGGCTCCTCGGGCACTTCTTGAACAGGGTGTTGTAGGATGAGAGGATAACTGAGGTTGGAAGGGACCTCAAAGTCTCTATTCCAGCCTCTTGCATGACAGTGTTATCCACCAGGACCCCAGTCTGGGATCACCTGCAGACTTTCTGAGCGTGGACAGTGATTAGGATGCAGCCAGGAGCCTGGGACCCTCACACCCTTTGCTTTTCTCTCTCACAGCTCCCCACTCTTAAGAAATGCCTGGCAGTTGTGCCAGTGCCCAGAGCCAGCAGGACCAGCCTCCTCTGTCACTGGTGATGCCACCACTGCAGTCCCTGCTGCAGATCCCTTCTCTCATGTCACTCACAGCTCCAAGGCCACAGTGGAGCTGGAATGGCTTTTTCTTGGCATGCAGGTAAAGCAGAGATGGGCTCAGGTCTGAAACCCCTCTGGAGCAGGAAAACCCTGAACAAGGTCAGGGCCACTGCCCAGCCCATCACTGTGGGGAAGCAGGAAGCCCAGTGAGCAGACAAAGAACAAAAGTCCCAGGGGAACGTCACCAGCACAGTCATCTCCACACATGCAAAGGTCCCTTCGGCCTTTTTTTTTTTTTTTTTTTCCCCTTTGAAATTTCAAATTCCAGTTTGTGGACAAAGTCCTGCCTATGTGAGAATATAGATCTCCGACCACTGACCAAACTCCACTCCAAGCAGTCCCGAGGACTGCTCTGCCCCTTGCCCACAGATGCCTCTGCTCAGTCCTTGGATCTGCCAGGATCGGGCCGAAATTTTGCACTGGAGCACAGCGCTGGTACTGGCACACAGAGGATTTTGCACTTAATGTCAGCAGCTCCCTTTCTGGGAAGGATCATCAGGAATAACCAGGTAGGAGTCTTATCACCTGCAATTCATTTGACCAGTCACTGGAGATAGAAAATGAGAAGGAGAAACAAGGGCTGCCATTGTGCTTATACCAGCAATTTTATCTCATGATTTAAATAAGGGAAGAGGGGAAAAAAAGCAGCTTCAGAGGGGATGAAAAACAAGAGGGAACATAAGCTTGTGGAGGCAGAGCCACTCTATATGGTTAACTGATAACTCCAGTTTGCCTCTTCCCTCTCATCTTTTCTGATTCTCCCAATTAAGCTCAACTTATTCTCATGCTAATCATTTCCTGACCTGTTTATTCTGCATTAAAAAATTAACAGAGAGCAGTTTACTGCATGACTTGCTCACACAGAAGGGCTACAGATTAGCAGGCAGGCTTTAAGCCTCTACACAGGACTTTTGGGTCTCACAGCCAGTCTGCACAGCCTGAGGATGAGCTTTTTTCCCCTGTTTTTAAAGAACAGCATTTTCCAAAGTCAATACAAATCCCCCCTCCCTCCATGCCATGAGTATATTTGCTCTGTGACTATTTCCAAATGGGAAAGATAAAGCCAAGGGCTTGTGTTTTGTCAGACTTTTGTAAACAGGGATATTTAGGCCACACTGTCAAACCCTCCTGCCTTCTACCTCGGCGTGACTCTGGAGCAGAGTTGTCAGGGTGTTAATGAGCAGCTCCAAGGAATTTGTTAGGGGCTGGGGGGGCTACAGGTCAGTGCAGCTGCACAAGCCCCCAGTTCAAGGAGCAGATCTCTGCCTGTGTTCCAGGCAATCATATGACAGGCACATGGATGGGGGGGCTGCTCCCGGGTGCTTTTCCCCCCTAGAAGCTTCCAGGAAAACTGATGATTCAGCAGAAGTTGTTTGGGGTCTGTTTGCCCCCTGCCAGCTGCACATGTCCTGGCAAAACACTTTGTGGAGGGGAACCAAAATGATCCCCCGGCTCCAGACAGGGAGCTGGGTCAAAATGCTGCAGCACCAACGGGCAGGAGGAGACCAGAGCCACATGCCAGACCCTTGCCTGGGGGAAGGGGCAATTTTATTGTCCTGTTAAACAGCAAGTCACTTCTCTTGGTGATTTACTTTCCCCAGGCCTGAAGCACCTCTCAGTGAGGTTTGGGGCTGGGGGTGGTGTCCAGGACAGGCAGTCCCTGAGCAGACCTCAGACACACCATCACTGATGAGCTTGTGGCATGTGGTGGCACCCCAGGCTCTCCAGCACAGCCCAGAGTGACAGAGGCAGCTTTGGTGCAACCTCAGGCTGTTTCTCACCAATACCAAAGTTATCAAAATGGGGCCAAACCAACCAAAAGCCCCCTGTGGAGAATCCAGGCAGTTTCTGTACGTGGGAAGAGACACTTCAAAGGAGGTAGAAGACTCTGCCTGAACTCCTCTTCAAAAGCAACATGTGCATTTCAGCTGAAGCTGGGATGGATGTTGGGGCTGGAGACAATTACTGGAGTTAAATAAATAGCTGCTCTGCAAAAGTGGTCAGGAAAGAACTGCAAACCTGGGGACAGTCAGACCATTTCAGCATATACTGCTCTGGCTATAACACTGTGTATGCCTTTCATCCCAGGATCAGAAAGGGGTTTATTATCTTGCCTAACAAAGGCTCTGAACTCTTGAGGAAGTAATTATTATTTCCCTTGGGAGCTGTTATTATGCAAGGACAGTAAGTCTGAGCTGTTCCCAGAAGGGTGGCTGTGCTCAGAAATGCCAGGGCATTTGCTGGTGTGTATCAACATCACCCTGAAAGCAGCACCTGGCCTCTGGCACCTGAGGCTCTGGAAATCTGGCTACTCCATTTTCATGTAAAATTGCCCAGTGAGCCCAAGACCAAGTGAGGAAGAGGAACTGCTGGATTCATCTTCTTTTTTTACATCACAGGCTGCAATTCATCTCGAGTTACAGCTCCCACCGCTGATCCCACTTGCCCCCCTCAGCCCCTACACCAGGAGCATTGCACTCCATCCAAATCCCAACCCAGCAGAGACCCAAACACTTTGCTGCAAAACACTTTCCTGCCTATCTGGGAGGAAATCCAGAAAAGCTCTGATTTGCCACGTGCTGTTCCAGATTCACTGTCTACACTGGCAGTTGCCTGCCTGTGGTTTAAGCCCCATTTAAATGGGGGAGCAGAAACCTTTTGCCCTCCCTGCCTCGCCAGCTCACACGTTTAGTGTGGCAGGGAACTCACTCTGGACCTGGAGAGAAATTGTTTAGCAGGTGAATGCGATCCCTCTGGACCTGAAGCAATCTTGCAGCTACCCAGGACGAGGATTCTTACTCTTAACTGAGTCTGACAGGCAAGCAAGTCCCTGCCTTCAGCCCTGCCAGCTGTTTGCAGGGCTCCTGCCTTCCGTTGACATTGTGTGTTCGTTGCACACGCATGAAACAGCCCCTGAACCGTTCCAGCTGTGGAGCAATAGAGGGAGGCGAACAGCCAAAATCAACAAGGGTTACACATCAAGTTTTACTTTGGGTTTTTTTTTTTTTGTTTTTTTTTTTTTTTTTTTGCAAAGGTGGATGCATCAGCAAGCCACTCCTGGGGGCTGGAGGAGGGTGGGGGCAGAGCTGCAGCAGGGCAAGGGCAGCAGGGGGACAGTCTGAGCTCACGGCCCCAGGGGAGGACCAGGCAAGGGCACCTCAAGGGCAGAAAGTGTCTTCCTGAACCCCACAGCTTTGGGCTGCTCCAGCTGCCCTCCTCCTGCCCTGGGCTGGCTGGCAAAGTCATTCCCAGCTGGGAAGCTGAACTTTGGGGGAACATCCCAGGACAGGGCTGTGTGGGCCCCCAGTGGGAGGCAGCACGAGGAAAGCCAAAAGCTGCTGAGGGTGGGAGCCCTGGCAGGGCTGAATGGGGAAAGGTAGGCTGGGCGTGGGAAAAAAGGAAACACAAAGGGGTGGTAAGTTAAAATTTGAGAGATTCTAGTTTCTGGAGACAGAAGGAAACAAGTTAGTGAGAAATGCTTTTTCTCTGCAGCTGTGTGCAGAGTGCCTGAACAGTCTGTGTTGTCCCCAGTGTCCTCTGCCAGAGGACAACACAACCATCCTGTCCACTGCCAGGGACACAAAACCACAGCAGAAAGCAAGGTATGGGAACATGGGAGCCTCCTACGTGGGGAACAGCAAGGGAAGGGGATCACAGGGCTCCACAGTCCCAGGAATCCACGGGCAGGACATGGGTAGTGCCAACTGCAACCAAACATGGGAAACTGCTAATTAGCCTTTGAGTATTCGACCCGTGTCTCCAAGACTGAATAACACTGTTATTTGTCCTTTTGCATTCCTGCAAGACCCAGTGCCATTGGCCTTTTGTATCATAAAGAAATTAAAATATATTGTGACCATAAACTACATCATTTGAGGAAATGAACCAATTTCTACTGAACGTATCGTGGGACACCGAAGCCATGAACTCTCCTAAATCGATTGCCAGCTGATAAAGAGCGCAGGTATTGCTGGGAGCAGCCCCCAGCACGTGGCTCCCCACCCAGCCCTGGTGTGGGGGGAGAGTGGGATGGTGAGTGGGGTGCAGGCTGCCCAGGAGGCACCGACCCCACTGCCAGCACAAGCCCTGCCTGGGGGGAATTGCTCAGGCCAGAGGAGCCTCTTACTCTGGTAAGAACTCTGTGCAACTGGAAAGGTTTGTGCTGGAAGTGTTGTTTTTTTTTTTCTCTTAGCTGCTTTTAAGCTTTCATTATGAGGACTGGGCAAGTCCTGCTGCAGATCTGGCCCAGGAGCACAGGCTGTGCTGCAAAGTGGCAGGATCTGTCCCCAGGCCTGCTGGGGCTGCAGCACGGGGCAGTAGTGCCAGACACGGGGAGCTGGGCTGAGAATGACGAAATCATTCTGCAGACGGCACAGGCAGTCACTGGGGTGTCCGTGGGGTGCCAGCCTAACTCCACCACCTCTTCCCCCAGGAGTCACAGCACCCACCAACATGCCACCCACACTGGGGTGCCTCTCCCTGGAGCCCCAGAGCTGACCTGGGGGTATCAGCCATCGGCACCCACAGACCTGGCACGGAGCAAAACAGAAACCAGAGCCCTGGGGGTCCCATCGGGTGGGGACCAGCAATACCAGGGGGAATCAGCATATTTTGGCATCTCGAATGCCCACGGGAAGCCCCGGGGACTGCCAGTGCCCCTCGTTCACACGGCCTGGCTACGCAGCTCCTTCTGTCCGCGCCGCGAGTGCCGAGGGGGGCGCGGGGGGTACCTGGTGTTTCCTGGAGCAGGTCGTATCTGCTGCCATTCATCTTCCAGAGGTGCTCAGCTCCGTGGGCAGAGCTAAGGGAGTCTGGCCCCTGGACGGGGCTGTCCGGCCGGCGAGCCCCCCGTGGGCAGCGGGGCACGAGCCATGCCCAGGAGCTGGCTGCAGGGCAGCAGCAGGGACTGGCTAATCCCTTAATGCTGGTCACAATGAGATTTGATGGGGAGCAGGAGTTTGTGCTGCGGAGCTGCAGGTTTTAAAGGGTTCTGGCCACTACCTGGAGGGAAATTATAAGGTGGTTCTGGGTCTGCCGGCCCCCAAGCAATACCTGCTGCTCTCTGGGCCACCTTTCAGAGGTGCCCTCACCCTGCTTTCTGGCCTGCCACTGGGTTTCTTCAGGGCAGGGGTTGGCTGGCCATACATACAGCTCTGGAGGTTGATCCAGAAAGTGTGCCTGGGTGTGTCTGACAGAGGGAGTGGGTCTGACTCCTTCTCCAGGGAGAGGCTGACTGTTCTCACTTTAAAGTGTTTTTATATAAATACCCAGAACACCACATCCTTGAGCAACAACCTTGGTCTCCCCTTCTAGCCACCATCACGATGTGCAGGATAGGAGACGTGGGGACGAAGCAGGGTGGCAGGAGGGAGTTGCCTGCCTGGTGCTCCCTATCCCAGGCAGCCTGAGATTTTGACCGTGCCTTGTCCCACAGCCCATCCAAGGCAAACCCACAGGAAAAAAAGGGGATTTCCAACTGCCAGGCTACAAGAAACCTCTCTCTCTGCCACCCCAGTGCTGCACTCTCTAGGCTTTCTTCTGGAGATGAAGCTGCTGCAGTGGGGGCTGATGCCCAGTGTTCCCACATGGAGCGGGGAGCAGCATCAAGGGCAGGGCTGGGACTGAACTGTGTGTAACCCCGTGACACCTCCCTTCACCCCTCTGTTTCCACACAGCTTTTAATGCCTGTGGCAGGGAAACACACCCAAGTCAACAGAGACTTCTCCCAGCCGAGGGCAATCCCCAGGCACACACCCATGGATGAGCCACAGGCACTGCCCGGCTCTGCTTCCACCCCCTCCATCCCACCGCCGTTCAGTCCTCAACGGCAGCAGACTCCGGGCAGGAGAGCAGCCAGGGCTGTGCATCTGAAGCCTGGATGTTTGTCCTGTTGCCCCTCCTGCTTCCTTATCCCACCCTTCATTTGTTGGTGCCGCCTTTGCCCTGCCGACGCCAGGCTCTCTGCACGGGCTGGTTCCCTTGGGAATCCCTCAGTGCCTTGGACACTCTTCCCTGCCTGGGCACCTCCACCTGGCTGAGCCTGCCCACCCCTGGGGCAGGACCTGCTCCTGCTCACGAGCTGTGGTGGCTGCAGGAAGAGAGGCCAGGCAGCTGGGTGGGAAACTGCAGCACAGGCAGGGCCTTTCTCCACGGGGGGTTTGTGGATGTACATTATTTTCTGCCTTCTGCTGAGCCCCCTGGCACAGCCCTGTCCATCAACCTGACACCTTGCCCAGCCTCACAGCCCATTCATTGCCAGATTTCCTTGGGTGAGAGTAGCACCAGTGAATCCTCTCCCCATGCTGAGGGGCTGCTTTTCACCGGAGTGGTGGGGTGGACAGTGCCATCCTGGTGATGGGGTGGGATGCAGGACTTGTCCAGCTGGTGGAAGCCAGGGCAGCTTGCCACACTGGAAGGGAACTGCAGCAGTCTCTTCTCATGGGGTGTCAACCTCTTATCTTAGGGGCTGTGCAGCCAAATGAGCATCCTCCCCTGGGAGCAGAGGGGGAGAGAGGTGGCCGAGCAGGGCAGGAGGAGCTGGGCTCTGGAGCCTCCTCCATGAAGGGCACTGGGCCATAAACATGGCACGGTGGCTGTGGTTTATGTGTCAGCAAACACGCCGAGTGGGCCTGACTATTGATTCTGACCACATAAACCAGTGTTGTGGCACTTGTTCAGGTTTGTGCAGGTTTTACAGCTCTTGTTCTGAGAAGTGCCCATGTATTTGGTTTTGCTCCTTCCTTCAGGTCTGTCTGTTGACATTGGCTCTCCTAACCAGAGCGTTGGGCCATGCCAGGAAGTGGAGTGTGCGGCTCTCCCGGTATTTCCCACTTTCCCAGGGGTTATCGCCTGTAAAATCTCGCACACACCCATGGCTGGGACAGGTTTCTGGTGCAGAGGTGCCCACTGGTCCCCACCACTGGTTGGTAGGTTTGGGTGCCCTGTGCTCAGTGGCTCAGAGCCACCCACCCTGACAGATGGATGGGCAAAGCTGCAGGGAAGGTGTTGCCCAGGGAAGTCTGGGGCAAAGCCTGTAGGACTGTGATGAAAATTGGGATGTCAAAACCCATTTGGATGTCCAGAGAAGGAGAAGGTGTCAGGGCTCCCAGAGCACCATCACAGAGGAGATGGGCCATGACTGGTGACCTACAGTAGGAGGCACATAATTCCTTATTCCTTATTCCTTCACCCATTCCCTACTGCCAGTCCTCTTCCCAGCAGGAGGTGCCAGCACTGGCTGTGCCCTCAGTGACACCTTGGTGATGGTGCCACAGTGATGGTCCCTGTCTGCCCCTCAGCACCAGAGCTCCTGGTACTGTGTGGATGCAGCTGGAGTCCCTCTGCTGGCTGCAGCATTTTGGGATAGAGAGACCAACCTGGCCTCACAGACCCTTCAGCTTTTTGGAGCCAGGAACCTTGACTGCTGGTGCCTTTCCACAGCCACTTGCTCTGCGTGGAGCTGCTCCTCTCATACCTTTGGTGGAGCATCCTGAGCCTACCTTTGTTTCTGAGGCATGTACTTCCTGAAGGGATTTGCTGGGTAATTTCAGTCCATGCCCAGGCTTGAGGTGGGAATGTGGTGCCTGTGCCCAGCACAGGTGAGCAGAGCCATCAGCCCCAGGTTCACAACACAACCCCTACCTTGAAACTTGCCTTCCGTGAAAATTCTGCTACACTTGCCATTTCCACACACATTTCTGCCAGGAGCCTTGTTTGCTTGAACATTTGAGGAAAGCAAACAGAGAAGGAGCCTGAACACAAACCACAGACAGTCGAGGATGTTTTTTTGCAGTCTTTGCCCTGTTCTGACCCCAAACCTGCCGGCAGAGGTACTTGCAGGCATCCCCCTGCCCGACACACCCCTTGGCTCTGCCCTGTGTGCTGCCTTGAGCCCTGGTGCTGGCCCTGCTGTAAATATTGCTGTATGTAAAACAAAACTCACCCAGCCCTTGCTGCCTGCAGGACCACCATCGCTCACCATCCCTTTGCACTCATACCCAGTAAACATTTTTTAGTGCCATTCAAGTGATGTCAGGGGATGACTAACAGAGTATGTCTGACTTGCAGACCTGCATCTGCCCTGCCAAGCTCAGAACATGTCTCAGACACTCCTCAAGCCTTCCAGACACTCTTGCTGCTCACTTCGCAGAGCCAGAGCTCATTTCCCTCTGACAGCAGCTCTCTGGGCTCACTCCCCTCTATAAAAATACCACTGTGTTTCAAGCAAAGCCAAAGGGGTGCTGCTGGCCCAGTGAACAGCTGGGGTGAGGCAGGAGAAGTCACAGCCCTGTGGGCAAGTGCAGCTGCCCCCTGAGCAGCATCCCTGCAGCCCCTGAAACAGGGGGAGCATCCCCAGCTCCTCCCCAGGGAAACCTTCACCAAGCACCAGCAAATAACTCTCAGGATGAAGCCAAAGCACTAAAGCAGTGATTGTCCCTTTTGCATCCCAGTAAATACCTGTGCTTATTCCTGACTGCATCCAGACCCTGCTCAGGCACTGGAAAGTGCTGACCTTGCCACACCAGCAGCTAGCAAGGACAGCAGGAATGGGGACAAGGAAGGGATGTCCCAGGTGTCCTAACACCCACTGGTCCCTGATGGCCTCTGGGCCGTGGACACAGAGTACGAGGTGTAAACAGAGGAATTAAACAGCAGCTGACATGAGCAATCAAGGAGGAAAACCTCAGTCCAGGTCATATCTAGTGGAAAGAGGTAAAAATTGGATGTGTTTGGCGGTGAAAAATAATTGCTTCACAACAAAAAGTAAAAACATTCAGAAATTCTGCCTCCTTTATGTTCCTCAGTTGAAACCATTCCCCCCATCTGACCAGAACGCCTGAGCAGCTCTGACGTCTCACATTTTTCAGCTATTTTCCAAAGCTGCTTTACTGCTCAGGGCCAGCCCTGATCATGCGCTGGGCCCTGCTGTAGCCACCGGCCCTGGGGTCCCCAGATCCCAGAGCTGCTCCCAAAATAGGAAGGAGTGGTGCTGCCTGCCCTGAGATTAAGACCAATCGCCCAGACTGGGCCCAAGTCTCATCAGGAGGATAAAGGTGGAGCCAGGGGCTCATCCCCTCCTCACTGCCCAGGAGAGGATGGTGCCCCCACCCTCCCTCTATCCCCTGTTTTCCTGCACAACCATTTGCAGCTCCCACAGGGATTTAGCACCAGTGTGCCCACTGGAGCCCTTTCCAGCTCACAGCCTGTCCTCAGCACGTGCTGGTGAGGATGCTGAATGTGCCTCCAGCTCCCTGGCTCTCCATGAGCTGTGGCAACGCTCCCTTCTTGGCCAGGGGCCCGTGCAGGGCGCTGGGGACAGGCCACCTTTGTCACCACCTGGCAGGGCATCCCCCAGGTCCCTTCCACAGGTCTGATGAGAGGGAAATGAGTGCCCCTGAGGTATGGTTTGGGGGGAATGCTAATGGCAGTCTGGGGCAGATGCTGGCTGTGAGAGCAGCACTGATGGGCTGGGCTGGGACTCAGCACCACCACCACTGCCTGAGCCCCCTCCTTGCTTTGCACTGAATAAAACTGCCAGTGACCCTGGGAAGGGTTTGGCTGCCACTGCCATCTTCATGATGATGCACCCCTGCTGCCCATCCCCACCCCAGCCCTGCAGAGCTGCAGGCTGCCAGGGAAGCACTGCCCAGTCCCCCATCCCTCCAGCCCTTCCTCGCCTCTATTTGGATAACTTTTTCACCCGTTTTATTTATGAGGGCTCCCCTCCTTCTGCCAACACTCTGAGTTTCCTCTCGCTTTGCTCTGGGAGGCCCATCTCGCTGGTTTTATACTTTTTATTTCTCTCCCCCTTGCACGGCCCCAGGCTCGCGGTGCCGGCCGGGGCACGCCTTTGTTCAGCCCCGGGAGCAGATGGGAGAGTGGCCACAGGTGGGACGGGCAGCGATTCCTCCCCGTCCCCCCAGTGGCACCCGGCTCTGCCTGCACTCGCCCAAGCTCAGCATGTGGCTCAGTCACTGATTCTCAGATCGAAAAATTAGGAGAAAACTAGATTAAAAAAAAGAAAAAAAATCAAGAGGAAATTATTATTGGAAACGTTCGCTTGCCTGTGTTTTAGGGCACTGATGTTCCAGGGCTGGCGAGAGGCTGCTCCCCTTAGAGTAGGATGCAAGTGGGCAGAGTAACTTCATGGTAAGTGATTAAAGAGCTTGTTCAGCTCCTTGTGTTGCTTCTGTCAGGCAAAGCTGGCTGCTGGCTATGGAAATGAGGCTGGCTTTGCACCCTGGAGCAAGAGAAACCATCACCCAAAGCGAGGCCATGAGCAAAGTGTGAGGAGGTGGCCTGGGAGTCCCACAAGCCCTCCTGAGACCTGGCTGGAAGGTGGGCTGGGGGACTGCACATGTTAGTGAAGAAAAAGAGGAGCAGGACATGAAAAATAGAGTGAGGAAAGGCAGGGTAGTATGATGGAGAGCCCCATGGAAGGCGGTGGAAAGCTGGGAGGAGTGATGGAGAGCCATAAAGAAGTGATGGAGAGCAGTTGAGAGTGATGGAGAGCCATGAGGATCTGAGGGAGAGCCATGGAGAGTGATGAAGAGCCGTGGAGAGGGATGGAGAGCCATGGAGAGAGATGGAGAGCCATGAGGATGTGATGGAGAACCTCATAACTGTGAGACCTCAACTGCTGTGGCCTCACTCCACACCCTGGCCACGTGCAGGGAACTGGTGTTCCCAGGTCACATGGGGCCAAAGCAGCCTCAGCCCTTTGCTGTGCAGCAGCACAGGCACAGCTGACCTGTCCTGAGGATAACAGGGGGCTGATGTCAGCCCCAGGCAGGGGCACCTGTCCCTGGTGCCCCCGTGCATTTGCAGGCAGTTGGCACCTGGCACAGCCAAGGAGCAAAGTGGTGTGGGGCTGCTCCAGGCTGGGAGCACAGACACAGGCCTGGAGAGCATTCCCTGTGGCCAGGAGCCTGGGCAGCAGCGTTGCCACCTGATGCTCTGCACCACAGAGGCTGGAGGCTGCTGTTCCTCCAGGTGCTGCACTCCCTGCTGGGAATCCTGCCCAGCCCATCCCCAGCTCTCGGCAGGAGCGCGGTTCTGACGGGCGCCCGCTGTGCCCGCTCACGCAGCCCGAGCAGCGGGTCTGGCTGCGTGTCCTGGGGCAGCACATCCCCTCACCTCCTCTAAACTGCTGCCACTCGTGCTGCCAGCCCGCCAGCAGCCCCTCTGCCGGGCAGGGCGGGCCGCTCCGCTCCCTTGGGCACGTGCCACCTTCTTCGGGCCAAGCGGAGCGAAGGAGAGAAACCGCGCATCGAGATGTATTTACAACACCTAAAGATCGATCAGAACCCTTCTCCTGCCTCCACCTCCGGCCTTTGCGGGCGCCCGAGGCGGTGGGGGCCGGGCAGCGTGGCGGGGCCGGGCCGTGGGGCTGGGGGGCTGCTGCCCGCTCCCAGCCCCGCTCCCCGCGAGCCGCGCCGGGCCGGCAGCGCGGGCGATGGGAACGCCGTACTCACCATATGGAGCCTCCATCTTAGCGCTTAGCTGGGTGCTTACATTGACCATGTCTCGCCGGCTACTGCTATGGGGACTTGGGGCGGAAAACCGGAGGAAGTAAGAGGAATAAAAAAGAAAGCTAAATAAATAAATAAAAATGTGTCTCACTGAGGAACTAGGTGAAGGCAGGAGGGAGCGCGGAGAGGCAGGGCGAGGAAACCTGCCTCTCCTGTTATCTTATTGATTCGCTTAATCAGGGCTAATGTGGGTGGAGATGTTAAATAGTAACCAAGCTCTTATGGAAACCAATCTGCAAGGTGCCGTTGCTGTAGCTATAGTAACTGCTGCCAAGCTAGAAACTCAAACACGGCTTTTACTGGACTCTTTTGGGGCTCCCGTTTCCAGACGGTGTCAAGGCCGGGGCAGCCGCTGGGCTGGGGTTCACCCCTGGCCACGGAGATGGGGCGGCTGGAACCAGCTCTGCAGTGCTGCTGAGCTTTGTGCCATCACCCACCCACGGTGGGAAAACCGTGTCTGAGCCTGCCTGTGGCAAAGGGCAAACACGGCCTGGGGGGCCAGGGGCTGTGGGACCAGTGTGGCATGATGGGCAGAGAGGAGCCTGGTTGAGGCACAAGGGATAAAATGCCCCATCTGTGAGTTGGGGCTTGTCTGCCTGGTGCTGAACCAGGGGGGTTGTCTGGGGATGGGGAGCTGTGGGGATGCTGTGGTGTGGGATGCAGGGTGGTACTCTGAGCGCTGGGCTGGGCACAAGGGGTTTGCAGCTCCTCCCTGTCTCCCACTGCTCCCCAGAATGGGGGGACTCTCAGGGTGCCCCAGCCATTCACAGACATCTGTGCTCCCTTGGGGACGCAGCACCCCGGACCTCACGGTGGACCTGCAGAGCCTTCCACACCCCCTGCCCATCTCAGGAAAGGGCCGGGCTGACAGAGGTACAAAGGGATCCCTGCCACTCCCAGGACACCCCTGCCCATCTCAGCTACTGAAACCCTGCAGCCCTGAGGGGACAAAATTAGGGACATCTGCTCCTCTGGATGGAAAAGCACATCCCAAGGGAGCGTGCAGTGGGAAGAGTCCTGCCAGGATGCACAGGGTTGTGGTGTAGGAAGCCACAGATGGGTGCTCAGATCCAAGGCCTGGAAATATGGAGACCTCTGAGTTTTCGGACTGCTGAGAGGTCCCAGAGAGGGAGGGAATGTGGATAATGGGGTAAGGTAGGGCAGCAGGATCATGTGGGATGGCCTGGGTGGGACAGGGAGTTCGTAGCCCTTCAGCCTCACCATCACCTGGTGTCCCAGCAGTGCTGGCTTCTCCCACACGATGGAGCAAAGCACCCAGGCATCTCCTGTGCCCACAGCCCGTGGCCCCACCCAAGGCTTCTGCACCACTTTGCAGTTCACCCCCAAAACCAGAGCAAAGACGCTGGCTCGGTGTTACCCTCAGGCTCCGGCTGGGAGTGAGGGAGGACTGACATGAGCATGGGGGTCTCCAGGCTGCTTTATTGGGGGCTCAGAGCTGGGGCCCCATGGTTGGAAGGGCTGCTGTGGAGCAGGGGCAGGCTCGGGGTTCCCCACTTCTCCAGCTGCTCACCATGAGGGAACATCCAGATATTTGCTTACACCTCTGCCTTAGCACCAGGGGGGCAGTGGGGAAAGCCCCCCAAAATCTGCAGAGCAGGAAGCATGCCAGCCAGCCCCACTCCCTCCAGGAAACCCTAAACCTTCCCTATTTCAGCAAATAGGCACCTGAACTGTCCCTAGTTCCCCCAAAGCAGGAAGCAGCCAGATGGCACGAGCACTGCCGGAGAGGTGTGTTAGAAAAGCAGTTTCCTACGCGGCACTGGGGATGAAGCAGGTTGGACAGCCGGGCTGTCAGGGGTCAGTGTTATAAATAATTCTGGTTCACCCCATTCCCGGGGTTCCTGGTGGGGCTGCAGCCCTAGAACCAGCTGACTTGGTTGGATTTGACTCCGGAGAAGCACATGTTGTTGGAGCAGCCCCCGCCGTAGGTGGGGGGGCAGGCTGAGCACGGCCGCCCCACCTTGTACGGTGCTTCTCCCAGCCAGTTGCCCCTAAAAAGAGAGGAGGGCATCACCCTGAGCACCATCACCTTGCCTTGGCACCAGCGAGAGGAGGGGGGGGGTGGCACGGGGAGGGGGGTTCCCTCCAGGCGCTTACTTGATGGCGTAGTTGCAGACGAGGAGGATGGCGTGTCGCCACGTGCTGCCCCACACCTGCACGTTGGCACAGGAGCCCAGGGCACAGCCCAGGCGGCTGGAGGCTGCCCACACCATCTGTTCCAGGACAGAGAACAGGCACTGTCGGTGTCCATCCACCCAGGCATCCCACAGACAATCCCCCTGGCACCCCAGCACAGGGCTCTGTCCCCTCAGGGCATCCCAGCCCACCTGCCCGAATCTCCTTGGCTGGGTGCTGTCCCATCACAGGCAGTGCTTTGTCACCAGAGAGTGACTTTCTGCTCTCCCTGTCCTGCCTGCAGCCTGCACTGCTCTGCAAGGGGCTGCCTTGCCAAGCTCATGAGAGTGAGCAGCAGAGTCTGGGTCACTTCTCCAATTTACCCAAATCAGCTCCCAGACCTCACCCTGAATCATGGCCAGCAGCTTACCCTGCACGCAGGGAGGTCAAGCAGAGACAGAAGCTCCTCCTAAAGCCTCCCCAGGCTGAATTTCTTCCTTAAAAAGTGTACATTGCACTTTTGCAACTCAGAGGATCCCTGAGCACCCCCATGGAGGAGCCACAGGGGGATGCACATGCTCAGGCAAAGGCTGGAGCTGTGCAGATGAGGTAATTAAGGGTTGGTACAGCTTTGCTACTGGGCAGAGGAGCAGGGGAGTTTTTCACCTTGTGCTGGCCAGGCTGCTGGGGGATGTGCCAGGGCATGAAGGGGCTGCATTCCCGGGGAGGTGAACACAGCAGGGTGCTGTAATTCTGCTCCATCACAGAGGAGAGGATTCATGCTTGGCAGAAGTACAAGGGGGCTTTTTTTTTACCTCTTCACTCACCGCCTTCGAGTTGCCAGCGGTGTAGCAAGGAACAAAAAGGCCACAGCAGTGGCTGCAGTGCTCACCTGCGTGTAGTGGCTGCAGACAGAGCCGCTGCACTTGTTGGGGCAGCGGGGGCTGCACTCCCGGGGGTGGGGGAAGGAGTAGTGCTGCTTCTCCTGGTGCCAGGATTTCACCATGTCCGTGACCGAGCGGTACCTGCGAAAGGAGCTCCGCGTAAGGGTGACCTCCTCTGCATCAGAGGCCGCGGGTGAAGGAGGGGAAGGGAAGGCTCCACATCCAGGAGAGGGAAACAAGCATTCCTGGGGGCAATGACAGCCTCGTGCCAAGCCCACTTGTGCCCAAGGCCAGAAGACCTGGGCCTTCAGGGAGGCACCTGAGCTCTCAGCCATGTGGTGGAGATTTAGGACCCACATCCCCCTGGTCCATATGCCTGGCAGAGAGAGGAGTAATGCCCCGCTTCTCAAATGAACAGTGGGCTCCTCTGCTTTCCTGTATTTACCCTTCTGCAAGAGCTGGACCCTTCTCCACTCCAGAGGGGCTGGGTGTGCCTCTCAGCTGCCTCCCAGTCCTGTGCAAACCCAGCTCAGAGCCTCTCTGCCCCTTGACCACGGGGCTGCTGCTACTCCTCCTCCAGTGCTGTGGGGTGTGGGGGGTTCCCAGGGGTTCACTCTGCCCCCCAGGGCACTCACCTGCCCGACTGGATGGAGAGGTTCTGCCCCACATATTTCATCAGCTCAGGGGGCCCGTGGTCCCACAGGCAACGCGCAGCCCACGCCTCTGCTGCCCTGGCCAGCCGCTCATCCCACACCTGGCCAGGGGAAAGGAAAAGGGCAGCCAGGAATTTTGGCTTCCCAGAGGAGGGAAGAGGAGAAACCTGCTGCCTTGTGCTCAGGGGGCTTTCTGAGCACCCATGAGTGTCCAAAAAATATGATGTACACATCCAGGCTGGGAAATGCCCAGGGGAAGCAGAGCAGTGTGCCCGGTGATGGAGCTCCCCAGCTGCCACCATGACCCTTGGGCACGCTGTGTGCCCACTGCCCAGGCAGAGCAGGGATGCCCTGAAAGCGGTGCAAGCCCTGTGGGAGTGATTCCCTCCAGGAATGAGCTCCTGCAGAAGGTGGAGCTGCAGCCAGGGGTGAAACCCTGCAGTCCTCCCAGCTGTCCCCAGCCCTCAGCACAGCCCTGGATGCAGATTGACCGGTGAGCACAGCTGCTTCCTTCATGCATTATTTAAAGCTTCCTCACCCATCCTGAGCTGCTCTGGGGAGATGCCTGGGTGAGTTATTTCGGAAGGCAGGAATTTAGGCCAAGCAAGAAGCAGCACAGGATGCTCCTGGGCATGTCTGACCTTCTCTGGTACCCAGCAAGCCAGGCTGCTGCATGCTTCTCCCAAACCAGCATCCAGGGACCACCCAGGTGCTCCATCAGAGCTCCAGTCCCTTTCCTGGGAGCAGAGCTGCACATGGCACCTCCTGTCTCGAGAGTCCTATCCTGTGCAGGTTGGAAATCCCTCCCCATTTCTTCTCCCTTGAGGGCTGTGATAGGAGCTTCAACCAGGGTGGAGACAACTTGGGAAAAGCTCTGCCCAGAGTGACCCTTGTCTGGAGAAGCCTGACCCTGTGAGGCTGTGCAGCCCCTCTCTGCCCCACTGCTGCACATTTCTTCTCCCAGGGGCTGGCATCACTGGGCACACTCCCAAAGGAGCCTGGAGCTTGGAATGTGGTCATCCCTCCCAGCTGCAGTTAGGGGAGAGGCTCCCACCCTGCCTTTGGGTTGGACCCTGAGCTTCTCACGCTTGTAGCCACCTCCCTTCCCCCAGTGCTACCTCTGCAGCTCAGCTGGAGGGATCCTGCCATCCCACAGCCAGCAAGCTCCAAGATGTCCCAAACACAGGCCCACAGATCCCAAATCTGCCCTCATGTGGAAACATCTCCCTGCTGGAACTGCATTCCTCATGCACAGAGGCTGCATGGGTGTGCCCTGCCCTGGGGACATGGAACATCCCCCGGGACAGCTGTTCAGCATCCCGACATCCCCGCGGGGTGGATGCCCCATCCCTACTAACTTGGGCTCCCAAAAGTGAGCCCCTAGACCCCAAACTGCCCACCTGACTCACCATGTACTCCATGTTGGCAGCGGGGGGGGACACCTGAGCCCGCACCTGGTTGTGGTAATCCAAAATCGCGCTCATGTCGTGGGGAGACAGGTGCCGCCTCCGACGGCTGCGCGGCACCCCCGCGCCCCACAGCAGCCCCGCGGCCGTGCCCCCGGGTGGGGACAGCAGCGCGGTGGCGTTGGGCAGCGGGAAGGAGCTGGAGAGATGTGTCACCCAGCAGCCCAGGGCGCTCAGGTACAGGTGCAGGTGCAGCACGGCCATGGCAAGCCCGCCCGCCGCGATCCCTCCCTGCTCCGGCACCGAGTTCAGCGAGGGCGAGGGGGATTGCCGGTCCCTGCTGCGGGCGGGTGGATCTAGGAGAGAAAACACCACAGCTCAGGATTGCAAGCACCACTTCCCAAAAGAAGACTGAAATGAATTTTCCTTTTCTTTTCTTCTTTTTTT